ACAAGAGAGAAAGGGAATTACACTTGATGAATTGTTTGAAGGTCGAGAAAAAGAAGAACAATTTCTTTCTACTAGGTGAATATATCATTTTATAAACCGTTTTCATTAGTTGAATTTAATCTAACTGGATTTTTATAGCCGAATTAAACGTGCACTTCAACTTACTTTTGAAGGATTAGTCGTTCATAGTAAGTATAGCCTTAATTGAGGATTCTTTTTTTGGTGGAGAAAAAACATTAGAATTCTTTTGAAATATTCAATAGGTAATCAATAATATCGTAATATTTCTCGTATTAGCCAACCAAGTGTCAGAAGTAGAACCTTATCTCCAATTGGAATGCGAAATAACTCTATATAAAATTAAAAGGGTAATTAATTTATTTGGATAAAAAAATTTTGAAAATCATTCTTAATATGAATCCGTCAATTAATAATTTCATAATATTGTGTCAATAAGGACCATTCAAGGAAACGCAGGTTAAGCAATGGGAAATGGGAATCGTGTGAATATAGGCAGATCTTCCGCACCTTAATTCAGATGATTCACGGCGAGGGTGGCTGCTATGTTAAGGATCTTAAATCGCTTCAACCTTACGTTACTAGCTTTGATGATGCAGGAGAACCTGTTCAAGACTTGGTCCTCAATTTTCGCGTTTATTCCATCAATAGCCAGACGTGGCCTCCAAATACAACTTTGTCATCGTCTCAAATTCCAATAAGTAATGAGCACGGAAAGTTGAATCTCGCATACAATCTTGGTGACTGTACGCGTCGAACTCTGTGTAATCAATTGGAAGTAATTGAAAATGGAAAGTTTATCAAGGATGGACAATATGATGTAAATTTGGGACTAGTGCGTGAACAAGATTCCATAATACCTTCTGATTGGAAGATACGTTTCACTCTTTATTGGGATTGCAAAGTACATCTTCCATTGAGACCTATAGAGAACAGCCCATTGGCAATCTCTAATATTCATCACGACAAATTACCTTTGTGGTTCTATATATCTATTCCAGATTTTCATCATTTGTTTTTCTTTACC